GAAATTCTTTTAGCAGACAGTCCAACATGAGTGCTGAGTATCTTCTGATGGTGCACAAGTGCGTCTGCAGTCCAGAAAGTGAATAGGTTCTGTAGAAAATTCCTGTGATGACAGTGTTTTCCATCTTCTGAAGTCCAGTCACTCTTTGTGTTCTGTACCAAAGCTCTGTATTACCTATGCTCCTGTATTTATATTCATAGAACTACGGTACAGTGTGATATCACAAGATCTGTTTTCAGAACCTTTACATCTTTAAGGCTCATTCCTTAACTCCACTGTAGGTAACAGTTCTATGGAACCATTACATCACATTAAATACATGTTTTCAAAAAGCGGTTATTCACAGATCTGGTGATATGACTGGGTTTCCAATCTCTATGACCCTGCATGACCTGGATTGTCCACCATAAATATGTACACTACAGTAATGCATTTAAAAACAAACAAACAAACAAAAAACAACCAACCAACCAGGGACACAAAAAGAATTAAATGAAGAATGAAAATGTTTCAACACCCAGGACTTTTTTTTTTTCTTCATTAAAAAATAAAACACAAAACAAACAAAAAAAACCCACAGTACCTGGCTCCAAAGGTAACTCTTCAAATTCCTGTAGTGGAAAAAGATAAAGAGAAATACCACAATTTCATAAGAAGTTAAAATGTTATTCTGAATGACACCTCTCACCCACCCAAGATAGGAGAGAATTTAGGGGAAAAGTTACTATAATTCAGCCTATTTCAGCTTTGAAAATGTTGAATTTTAAACAAATTTCTCACAAGAAGGTTTAACATTACTTTTTAACATCTTTACATTTTATGAAACATGCAAAACCTACAATATTTCTCAAATCCAGACACCTGTTGAACACATGGTACACATTCGCATGAGTAAATAAATCAACAAATGTAAGTAGCACAGAACAAAGCTTATCTTCATGTTAGCCTTCTCTAGATTCGACTTTACAAAGTCTCCTTTCTGAAAACACAATCTATAGAAACACCAGCTTCACCTGGAGCTACAAGTGTCCTTAACCTACCACGAGTGGTCTGGAAACAAAGCCAGTATTTAAGGTATAGATCAGTTTCAACTTTCTTGTCAACATGGGATGCATACACTTTTAATGGAAGTTAAATAGAATGTAGGGCACCGAGTTGGTTTATACAACAGACAAAAGTAATCCAATCTACCACCCAAACTCACTATGATATATATCGTATATCTATGACCTGAGATATATATCTATCTATCTTTGTCCATATGATCAAATTAGAAAGACATTAATTCCTATTCTTTGCAGAATAAGAATGCAGCCACTGTGTACTACCTGTACATATACTGTTTCAGCATACAGTTTATACGGCATATATTATGCCTTTTTGTTTGTAAAGAAAAATTGGTTACCATTTACCTTTATTACGTTTAAATCAGATGAAGAAGCATCTAAACTGTTTCCAACATCTTCAACCTCTACCTTTAAAAAGTAAATGAAGGACATTGTGTTATCTATAAAAGAATGGGATAGCGAATGAAACCTGAATGAGAAATTGAACATTTTATTTTCACTGACTACTGATATTAAACAAATGTATCTGGCATACAAAACAACCAATAAGGCTAAAAAACTGACTAATGACCCCCACACCTCTTCCTGATCCCCACCAACTGCATAAGCTTTCTCATTACCTCTCAAATATGTTGGATGTCTCACAAAAAACTTTTAAGGATGGGGATCCCAACAGCAAACCTCTTACTCTTTCTCTCTTATTTAGCAACAACACAGAGCCAAAAAGTCTATGGGACTCAGTAACTGTTTACTGATACAAGACAACTGCAGGAGCTGACCTGGACTCCAGTAGTTTAGTCACTGAAAAAAAAAATACTTCCTGGGTATTTCTATTTGACTTGCTGGGGATAGGGGGTGAAGCTTATTTCTGCAACTTTCAGATCTGGGGGAGGAAACCACCCAACTTTAGAATCTTGTGATCCAGACTGATGACACAATGTGCACACACAACAAAGACCTATGCTTCCCTATTAGATGGGGCAGAAATAACCTTCTTCAAATGCTTTGTTGTACATTTCAGGAGATAAACACTTGACTTGGGGGGGGAAAAATTATCTTCTAGCCCAGATGGACAATGTCATATAAGCAGTGCAACAGCCAGACAAACACAGAAAGCCAACAGAGAAATACTTTCAACAACTGAGTAACTGCAGTAACTACAGTTCTGTCTTAACAGAAAAATAATCTAGACTATAGTTCCCAGAATATTGCTGTTCAGCTGAAGTAAACAAGGCTACAGCATTTGTATGCCTCATGTCCTCCTAAATAAAGGAAATATATGAAAATGGGAATGTAAACATAAGGTGAAGCAGAGAGTTCAAACCATGATTAAAATAAATGCTTTCTGGATTACTATTAATTTGTACAGTCATATGTGTACAAACAACATGTAAGCATTTTAAAATCAAGAATACTATTTCCACAAATGTGTAAAAGAAGAAAAATCAATGATCATGAGAACTGGTAGAGCCCCAAATTGTTTCAAATATACTTTAGCTACTGTTTTGCTATTTAATTAAAAAACAAACAACAAAAAAAAAGAAAAAAGAAAAAAGAATCTGATTCCACACACATAAGAGATGCATACCATCACTACTGGTATTTCTCTTGATTCTTCTTTAATTTCTGAAAATTGTGGGGATGCCTCCAAGTTACCTACAGCATATTCTGTAGGCTGATCTGGAAGTTCTTTCACTTCTGCATCAGCATTTTCTTTACTATCAGACAGTGAGTCAAGAATATTATCAGCACTGTAATCCTCTCCGCAATCTACCACATTGCCATTATCTATTTCAGCTTCATCTAACACACTAATATCCATCATGTCAATATCCTGCAAGTTATCCAAACTTGCTTCAATATCCTCCTGTGAAAAGAAAAAAAGTATATATAATAGTCATTGTAACTTGAAAACGATGCTATCATTATTTTGCTTCAAACACATCCTCACATACCTGTCCATCTCCTGAATCCTCTTCCAGGCCATTATCTTCTACTCCCTCTTCATCTGGTCTACGTCCTAACAACATTATGATCGTTAGAATGAAATAAGGTAACGGTACGTATCCTTCCTTCATCAGAGTTGGTATTCCATTCAGTTTAGTTATCTGCTTTTTCCTTATTTTCCACAACTGAGTGCTTATATACCATCGCAGTTCAGTAATTGACAAACACGCTACAGTCTGAGGTCTGTCACAAGTTCAAGAAGCACCGCTACGCGCTCCCCAGAACATTTGGCTCAGCTGAGACTGCAGTAATTTATTATCTCAACCTTTCATTTCTTTACAGACATTTACTAGAAGGAGGAAAGAAAAAAGCAACCAAACAAAAAACCCAACACAAAACAATGAAAAAAACCTACTCTACCGGTAAGCATTACTGCAGTGCTCAGTCCCCCAGCTGGACACATAATATAGTAACTGACACTACTGAAAACAGTACGCTAGTTTCAGCACCAGATAGTAACTCCTCAAAATTAGAGCTAAGTAGTTGCTTCGTCTTTTATGAATGTTATTTTCCTGAAAAACTACAAGCACATTACAATAAAAAAGGGAAAGGGGTTTCAGACCTAAGAGGAACATCTCGCCTATTTCCATCCCAATGCTAAATGTGCTCTAATGTACATTAGGTATTTTCTGAGACTTGAAAATGAACATGGTTACCAAAGATCTCTCTGCTTTTACCCACAGTTGTGACATTTGTTCCCCTTCCAGTTAAGATTTCACATTTTAGTTTGCAAGCAAATGTAACATCACTCCAAATTGGATGTAAGGACAAAAATCTGAGTCAAACAAATTAGTAAGGCAAAACATTTGAGCTTCATCTCACATATTTACATTTTGTGTAAATCAAAATTACTAATTTAATTAAAATCCTTCATCTAAATTAGTTATTCTGCTCCAATTCAAAAGTAAGTTTCAACATTATTTGATTACAAAATAAAATCAAAGTGTGGTAATTAACTATAGAAAAATAGATTATTTTGTTAAAATAAGGATTATGTAAGACTGTCTCACCATTAGAAAAATAATGCATAGAGAAAGCTTTAAAACATATCCAATTTCAGATATTGATTAAAAACTAGTCTTCTGGGAAGAAAAACAAGACTACTATTAGCTATGAAGCATAACACAATACAGATGTTACTTTGAATTTGCTAGAAACTCTGTATTTCTACCTCAAAAAAAACTTCTCTTATATTTCTCAAAAGTAAAGGTACAGTCAGCTTAAAAAACCAACTATCTATCTTAAAAATGCTGACACTGCTTCAGCATTACTTAGCAATACCTGCTACAAATTTCAGGGAACTCTGAAAACAAACCAACAGATCCTTCGAGTGAACCAATTCCTGTCTTACTAAATTCCATGAAGTTCTGTGAATAAATGACTGGTAAGTTTAATACCATACCACACATCCCTAGAAACCCGAGTACGAATGTGGGGAAGAGTACCAGTAACTTCGGCATTAAAGGTCCGAACCAAGGAACAGAATATTCAACTGTGTTTAATTTCTTCCAGAGAATCAGTTCTACCCAAATCTGGCTCAGGCAAGTAACATTAGCTATAGCTTTGGGACTGCAAAACATTCAGCAACAGTGCCAAAATTAAACTAAACACTTTTCCAAAAGGAAAAGCAGACTTCAGAAAAAAAGATCAGCAAGGTTACATTTCAGAAGTAAAAGTTGCTAGAAAACCCAAGGGGGGTAGGGTGGAGATCCTCTCTAACTGCCCTGTACCTTTGCTGCTTCTTTTTGGAGTTTTCTTCATGATATTTTCTGAAACCACGGGAATTTCATCAGGATTCCCCCCTTCCTCCTCAATAGCCTATTAAGGGGAAAAGATAAAGATAGATATCAAGACAAACATAAAACCTATATTTGTGCATTTCTGTTGAATTTAAGAGCTGGACTCCAGAGGCAGAAAAATACCAAAACAAGAACCAGATCAAAGCAACAAGCACACAGGTAACAGTAATATGTTGGTGTAAAGCAACATATTCTGCAAAGCAGTCAGCTGCATAACCTATAGACAAAAAAAAAGAAAGTCAATCCTACAGCATTTGCAACAGTACACAGATACCCGAGGCGTTGTGACAGATAAGAACCTCGGCTCTAGGAGACAGCAAACATCAGTTCAATGAAGATGGTCCACATGCCGCTAACGTGGCAAATGTTCTGATGAGGATAGAGCGTACGTGCTACCAGCTAGAAAGCCAGAAAAAAACCCACCCAACCAACCAACCAAAAAAACCAGTACACAGCAAAAAGCCCAGCAGACAGCGTATAAAACTGTAAATCTTGGAGATCAATGCACGGTGGAAAGCCCAGCGATGCACTTGAGCCGACTGCAACGGCAGACACACTGTGCTGTGCGGGTCTAGGAAATCAGACGGAAGGTCGTTGCGTAGATGGAAGCGCCAGGCTCGCACACCTACACCCCACCGCTACTACGAGACCGGCGGTCTCAGGGGCGAGCCTGGGACGGCCCAGTACGGGGCCACGCACGGAACGCTCGCACTGGGACTTGCGGGCTCCACGGAACCAGCCCCAGAGGCCGGCGCACCACCCCCTGCTCCCCGCAGCCCCGCTCCAGGGCCGTTCGGCGTCATTCTCCTCAGCAGTGCCTGGCGGGCTGGGGTCGCGCATGCGCCGGCTACACCGCCCCTGCTCACCTTCCTGAGTCGCTCCATGAGGACGCTCTTGTTGCCACCGCTGTCCAAATTGCGGCGCTTGAGTTCAGCCCGCAAGTCTATGACGCGCAGCTCGCTCAGCCGCCGCCGGTTTTCAGACTCCGAACAGGAGGCTCCAGACCCACTCAGGGACGCTGATTCTCCCTGCCCGGCCGCTGACTGACTCTCCGCCATGGGGCCGTTGTTTCTACTCCCACGCACGGAGCAAAGCAGGATAAAAACAACGGCGAAAAGCCGCAGTTGCAGCACAAAATGGTGGCAAAACCGAGACGCACTGAAGAGAAAAGGGGAGGGAAGGAAAGGAACCACAGCCCGCACGCGCGTTGACCTGAGGGCCCGGACGGGTTGCGCGCATGCGCAGAAGAACCTCCCCGCTCTGAAGCCCCCCC